TACGTATGATATTTATTCGAATCATGGCGTATCCGAAGTAACTTATTCTCTAAATAAACGGGCAGGTCAATAGCGTCTCGTGCTATCCCACATATTATATAATGGCAATCGCATTGCAAAAGAAGTATATATACGACTGATTTTCAATGAGTGCGAATGTGTATGTGTGTGTACGTATGTTGTGTGCGTGCGTGCGTGCGTGTGTATGTGTGCATGTGCGTGTGCGTGTGTGTGTGTGTATGCGCGGTATGTACTGTATTAAGGCGTCTAAGAGAGATGAAAGAAAAAACAGGAAAGTAAAGTACCTTGTACTTGGCGGAATTTCTGAGCAGATAATTGATGGAAAAAAAAATTCGCGTATTGGCTTCGTGAATATCTCTCTTTGTCACGCGTGGAGAAAAATATATGTATTGCACGTGCAAGAAGGAATCTATCGGAATTCCTGATAGAAATTTCAAGATCATTCATAAATTAATATATAGAGAGAATACAAATTTTTATTTGCACATAGTTTTCTAACACGTGAAAATTCCTCGATTTTTATATTTAATAGTTTGTACAATTTAAATTAGATAATACAGGAAATGTGTATATATGATTTTGTTGATCCAATAAATTTTTATTAGACATCCGGGTAAACTTTACGACAACGCAATCGCTTCAATTGTTATATTTATTCAAGAATGATGCAAGTTTAACTTAGTTTAAAAATTAATTAAAAACTTATTTAAAAATAGAGAATTTAAAAGCTTATTTAAAAATAGAGATGCTCTTGTTAATTTCTATCAGGATCAAGCATAGCAATTTTGTAATGACCGATTAAAAGGACAAAAAAAATTGATAAAGTGCTCTTTTTAGACTGAGCTGTGGACTCCACGAAAGTGACTTATTATTGGCTTAATATAAATATGTTAGAAAGTTGGCGGAAAATAATGCAAATTTTCCAATTTATGCTTCAAGGTAGACTTTTTTTCAACAAACAATTATCTGAACAGAATGAGCTCTGCATCAAAAAAGAATTCGAATTCATAATGAAACATTTATCGAGAGACGTATATTTTACTTTCGGCTAACGTTTCCACAATGTTTTCTTGACATTTGATACGCCACGGTAATTTATTTATTATATGCGGCACTGCGTTATATTTAACTGACTAGCAGTAAGTGGTGGGCGCAAAATGGTATGACAGTATTTGGATACATGTGCGGGCACTACCCTCTTGAAATTTATTTAGACTATGTTTATTTTTATAAATATATTAAATCTATGTTTATTTTTAATATTTTTAATATTTTCATAAGTTTGAATCTCTGTCCAAAAAGTTCACGTTGGACATTAAAAATTAATCGTTGCATTATTATATTGTATCGATTGTAAGAATATTATACTTGCCAATATGTGTAATTGTTACTTTCAATAATGTGATAATTAATTTTGTTTAATTTTTAAATTACATATATATAAGAAACAATACTTTTTTCAGATATAATTGTGTTCCTTTATGATAAGTTTTTCTATTCATTTATTTTATTTCAAACTGACTTGTCATCTTGATGAAAATGTCTAGACATAGTTACATATATAGAAAACATTATTCGTGTGCGCATGTATCCGAGGCCCAACACTACAAGTAGCTTAAGCTTGCATCGAGTGCGCTTGCAATTTACTGCACATACGCTGCACTTAATTTATCAGAAATTATCTGGAGCAAGACTTTCGAACCTTTGTGCACGATGAATGCCGCGAATAACTTTTTGATTAATTTCTCTTTGATATTCTCCAAAATTATCGCGACTCCTCGCGATCCGAATAAAAATCCTCATAATTATCAAGTGAATCGTGAAATATTGTATTAGAAGTTTTTTTTATTTGCATCATTATTCGTTATAATAGACTTTTACATTTATTTTTTAAGTCGTAATGTAATCATTATCGCACACGCGTGCGAGAAAGAGAGACTGCAAGAGAGAAAGGATTAAAATATAAGATATTCGCACGGAGAATTATAATATTTGCAAAGGTAAATAGTATTATATGTTGCCGTCCATTTCTTCGTGACTGATTTATTTTGATTACATTTGTGTACTGATGTTAATTATTCATAATATATATCATACATTAATTATTTATAATACATCTCAACATACTTCAATTACATAAACAAATATTAAACGTATTAATTTTATTTTCTAGAGATGTATATGATTTAAAAGATTTAAAAGAAATAATCGTGGCAAACATCAGAAGAAAAATATCACGATCGGCCAATAATCGTTCTTTAATCAGGATGCGAATTAATAATGAACTAAATATGTGAACGAATAGGAAAGTTATTGGAATTAAACATTTATCTAAAAAATGAAAGTAGCACGTATTAATTAGCCGGGCTACAATTTATCGCATGATGAAAAAAAAAGGTTTCTGTTCCGTTGCTCTAAATTAGGAAGTCTGAATCTGTCCGGAGAAGTGCACAAATGGTTAATTAGAAGGAAGCTTGCGAAGGATCGCGCGACATTGTCGAGTCGCGCAGCACGTAAGAACCTATACACATATAAACAAACACGTGCGTTAATTTCGCTAGCGACAGATGCATCAATCAAGTAGCCATAGATCTGTAATCGAGTGTGCTTTTTTCCTCACCTCGCTCCTCGCCCTCGCTCCCATTGTTGCGACGCGTAGACGCAACATGCGAGTCTCACTATTTAATTGCAATATCAATGTGCGACGAGGCCCTCGTCATCGATTATACTCGTTGACGGGGTTTCGCAAAATCATGCAAAACACGCGTCTTACTAAAAGCGTAATCCTACCATAATAGCGACGTTCCTATTTTACGTTCGCGCCTTTGTACGTTTCGACTACGAAAAGATATAACTTAACGCGAACTTTTTTCGGCTACGAAAACGAATTCCTGTTGCAATCGCGAATACGAGAGACTTTTCGTCTGGCTTAGAGCGCAATATCCCGTCGTAGCGATTCGTTCTGTATCCGAAATTTTGTCAAACGACACATTTGAATAAAGTAATTCACATTTGTACGGAATATGTATTATGTTATTTTTATACGAGATTGTGCGAAGGAGCAAATCGGATATGTTGCATTAAATCAATCTTCAATCCCACTGATACATATTATATATTTATACATAATAAATCCATATAATAATAATCTTTAAGCATACATAAGATAATATGTCGAGATACTCGACGACACATATAGAGGAACAATTTGAAATAATATAATTAATTAAAATATAATAACGATGGAGATACCCAAAGAAAAGATGATTTTTAAAACGATCTTTAGCTGGATCTTCAATTTAAGGGATGTATATTCTCCAAGCACATCACCTCAAGATATTTTCATGTTGTAATTGTCGGGACAATTGGGAAATCGGCTTTATAGACCGTAAACTTGAACGGTCTTAGCGGTCAAGAATGTGATGAGAAAGGGACGGAGGAAATATAAAAGAGAGAGAGAGAGAGAGAAATGGGATAGGAGAGGAGGCGGAAAAGGGGAAAAGGGTGATTTTTGGCTGACGACGACGGACGGATGGAGAAACTAATCTAGATTGGTCGGCTGATATGTTGCAGCCGCCACCGGCTCGGAGGGAACGGGATCACCACCGTCGTCATCGACGTTAAAAATATCGAGTATTTCCAGCGCCGCAGTCTGCACCTGGCATAATCCGCGACCTTGCCCTCGTTGCGCCCGCATCTACAGCAACAACAGTAATCTACGGAGACACCTCAGGTCGGCCCACGCGACCGCTCCCGACCTCCTCGAGCTGACGTCGCTTCAACGGAAAAACATGGTGCTGCGGTCCTCCCTGTTCTTCGCCGAATCCTCTTCCTCCTCGGGAGAGGAGGTCATTGGATCATAATCTCGATTCTATCAATGAAACTATCAATACATCAGATACGCCCTATGATGATAATGCCAGGGAATATTGTTACAATGACGTTCTTGAGATCGTAATATCATATGGACGAGTCAACTTGCGACTTTCTTCGACGAAGATGGATATTTTTAACGAGCACAATAAGCAACACCATTCTTGATATTAAAATGATATATCGATAGAAAGAATTAATAGCTTTGATTATTATCACGTCATTGATAAGGGAAGGAGAGTGCTTGATTGAATTTATTAATTTTAAGAGATTATTGAATTTACTAATTTCAATTTATGGAAATGAGAAAGGATTGCGAGACGATCGTTTTTTTAGAAAGCCAAGTTGGATTCTATGAATGTTTGATAGTTAATGGGAAGTTTGAGGTGTTTTATTCAAGTTCCTCTATATATGTATATCTGCAGACTGATAAATCGACGCAATAATTGCAATAAGCGATTAAGAGATTGTTATTGTTGATAACGTTACCGATATCCTTTTATGTGAAAGGAATATTTCTCCAGTGGCCAAATTTTTTTTTTTTAAATAATTATTTTATTTGTACACAATCATTCCTACAATTGTTGTGTTATAATGGAGCATGAAGTATTATTATGTATTGAAAACTGTCATTTCCACATTTCCACATTTTTGAAAATATTATATAATTTTAGGTTAAACGAATATGATTTGTCATTTTTTTATAATAAAAGAAATAAACGTATTCTTTCGAAGAACAAACTTGTATGTATACTCGGCTCATGTCCGGAAAGATTTAAGCTGATAATACTGTGTTGTTCTTGTTAGAGCTTAGAGATCTCTGAATAACATATTTCTTTTCTCACTTATTTTCATAAATTATATATTATAAAAATGTATCATTTATATATTTTTTCATAAAATAAATATAATGACATTACTGTTTATATAATACCAATCTTTTTTTTTTGTTTGTCAAAGTCTGAAATTTAATGTCCGTTAGAAAAATAATTGCACATAGTAACAGATCAAATCACAGCTCAACATTTCTTCTCCAAGGCTTCTCATACGATGCTGAAAAAAAAAACAAAATTAAACGCATACGTTTTCATGATTGCTGATTGCAGCGCGAAGAGTACGTCGCGGTAGACCGCGACTCGGAACCAGAGGTGGCAAACATCCATCGCCATCCGTTCGCAGAAATTCGCCATCCAGGAATGATTGGCTGCCCCTGGACATGAGAACGACTCCACCAACTGCGATGCCTGCCTTCCGTGGATTCGAAGAGTCTTCGTCGGATGGTGTGGTCAGTACCAGTGAATTTCTCCCATAATTATCCATCAGTATTTTCTTCATGCAAATGTCTTCGCATATTTTATTTTTTTTTATAAAAAAACTTCTCAAAAATATGTAAATAATAACACAAAAATATGTAAATAATAACGGTATCGTAACCATGTTTCTCTTGTAGGTTCACTTGGGTGAGGGTATAGCTGTCTGCGAGGAGCAACTGAGGGCTGTTAAATGGAGTGATTATCGCAAGTTGACACGCGGATTAGCCGCGATATTGTTCAGCCCGACAGAACTGGCGACGTGCTCCGTCACCGGTCAACGTTGGAGCCGCGCCGGCACAGCTACCGAACGTCCTGTCAAACCTGCCCTCGACAAGGCTAAGGTTCAAGCCATTATATGTAAGTATGCACGATGAAACATTGAACATACTTCGACGAATAATTTAGAAAATGCTCCTTTTTAGCACGCGTACATAAATGCACATATTTCTATAAACTTTCATTTCTTTGTAAATTGAATTAGTTCGTGTCTCTGCTGTTACAGCTTATGTGACGTCGAGGTTTCCGTCAGTAGACGTCAGCAGCGTGAAACAGGTCTTAGCATACAAATGCAAAGAGAACTCCACAGCTCTCAAGATGAAGTCTATACGATACATATGGTAAGTCTTGATGAATTCTTATCATACATGATCGTTCACGTAAACAAGGATAAAGTTTTGCGTACTAAAAAAAATTACAACGATTTTTCTTTATACTCTCTCCGTATTTGATAACAGCGATAGACAGGATACGGACACGTCACCGCGGGGTGAGTCCGAGGACAAGTGAGAGGGGGTACAGGGTGCGTGCAGGGTGCAGCCCGCCTCTCAGTTCCGTCGCGTCCTCCCGCACCCTCCATCCAATACGGTTTACTCGCCTCAACGTTCGCAGCAAGATCGTGGCGATTATCGTAATAATAACAGTGACAAACAGTGCGTCAACGTGCATCTACGACGCAGGCAGGGCAACGAGGAAAGGCACGGAGGCGATTTGTCTCCCGCGTTATCCGCGCCGGCAGATCTTGAAAAGCTGATGCCTCTGCACACGCTTCACGGCGCATTTCATTCCACCCTACGAACGGCGACGGCCTCATACATTTAATTACTGGTTTAACCAGTTGCACATCGATCGAGAAGTTGTAATCCCGCAAGGGTAGGGCGGAAATACAAAGATGACAGACAAGGTTTGATAAAAAAAAAAAGAACTGAAATATTTCTGATCGTTTCGTTGCACGATTTAGAAGATATTTCAGGATATTCATTAACTTTCTTTATTTCCTTCTTGCCATCAAAATCGCGGAGATTTTAATGGCGGGGATGATTGAGTTCTTTCTGAAGCGTTCTACAAAAAAAAGATTTAACATGCTTACATATACAAAAAAGATATGAAAGCGAAGGATAAGCGTGATGGATAAATCTGTTGAATAGAACGTGTATAACAAGTTCACGAAAAATAATAGAAGCGTTTCGAGAGTAGAAGAAAAATTAAGACGGATGGAAACAAGTGTGACTGGTAAAATTTTAATGCAAGATTAAAATGGATCGTGACTAACAGCTTCATAAAACTTCATACTTTGAGTAGGAAATAAAATCATCAGTATCAGGCTATTACGTTTAGACTGTACATTATATCTACATTGTGAATTTATCGTAAATTTCCCTATCGTAAAGTTTCTCCTCTAAATTTCCTTTACTTCTAATAGCCAGCGTGGTTACGTAATAGACGAAAGGAAACGTAGGAGAAGAAGTTTACTTTACGGACATTCAACTGATTTATACAGTATGGACATTTGATTGTAATGGCAAGTCTATTGCGTTTATAAATATTTGAGATAACAAAGTTAACACGACAAGGGATTATTAGTGGATGCGTTCTTGCCTAAAAAAAATCATTCCTTCGTATACATGCGTTCCTTCTATAAATATAAGTGCTTCTGATAAATAATGCATCTCTTTTCGTCTGTGCGATAATATGAATTTTTTATGTGTAAGAAACAAAGTATACAAAGGCATTGGGAGACGCGTCACGAAGGAACGATTCTGTGCAAGAATGCATTTGAATTTATTTGGTTTCGGCTGTGAGCTACGACCACATGCGAAGGAGGAGATCCGTGTGGTTCTATTGAAAGAGAACGTATCCTTCTAGAGTGAAGGTGAGTGATAGTTTAAAAAAATGATAAATAGTGAGAAGGCAATATTATAAAGAAAAAAAGGAGAAAGAAAGAAATATTATTAAAAAATAGCAAGGTCGGACGGATTAGTCCGATCCTACCGGGATACAAGGGTAGACTTTCACATATAGAGTATGCCTAATATATATAAACATATGTGTATATGTATATATATATATATATATATATATATATGTGCATGTATATATAAACGAAAAGTAATATATAAATATATTATAAATAAATAAATAAATAAATATATATATATATAGTAATATACATACATGTATTACTATATATATTAAAAATTATATTATTAACGAAATAGATGAACTTATATATATATATATTATTTGTTGGGAGAACATATTACATATATATATTACACATATTTAATATATTTAGGATATTTATTTGTTGATTTGGTGATAAATATATATATATATATATATGTATAATAATAATATATATGATTTTTATAAAGGTTCGCGCGCGCGGCATGGAGAGGCCGGCCTATAAAAGCGTTTCGAAAAAGAAAACGAAAAAAAAAGAATCACAGCGAAGAATGGACATGAACGCATACAAATTTTAATGACGATATATATAATACGAAACATTTAAAGTGTTCTCGCACAATCGCATCTCATTATCGATCTGATCGTTATCGGAGCAGTTCGATAAGTGCGATTTTGCAAAATCTATTTTCTAAGACACGGTGATTTTTATCAATTCTCTCATCTGGCCTGAAACAGCCTGTTCTGCGATCTACGATTGCGATTTATTAAGTTACGAAATTAGTCGATTGATTAAGCTCGGTTCAGATTACCTGTTTTCGTTTCATCAACAACGAAAGTGAAAAGGAATGTACTCGTAAAACTAGTAATAACCAACAGCGATGGAAAAGAAATAATTAAAACACGAAATTAAGTATCATTATTTTAATAAAAATTTCCTAATGAACGGTATTAATATTTAATTTAGAAGGGGATATTAAACTTATTATTAGTATGTATAACGTACATATATAATTTGTTACTGCTCGTTTATGTAATCGTAATTAATTGAATCATTTAATGTGAAAGAGCAATATATTCTTTTATTGCTGGCCTAACGTTACTTATAATATAACGGGTTCAATTGATGATATTTTTTTAGAATTATTAAGTTTGCTAGTGAAATTATATTTTATTTATACGGCATAGTTGTTTTTTTCGTTTAACCACATGCGGACTAAAAAAGAGGAAAAAATTTATTTGATTTAACACAATTAATGTGTTTTAATTTAGTATATTACGAGACAGATATATATCGTTTAGCGAGAGAAGGAGAAAAGTAGGCGAGAAACACTGAATCGGCCTTAATTACCGATACTCTACAGTCTCTTGCAGAAATCCGTTCGGCGCATGTGTATAGATGAATATATATATATATATATATATATATATATATATATATATATATATATGTATTCATGCATGCACATCGCGTAACGTATAATACAACTCACATTCATACGTACACTCAGTCACGCAGCAAACTCTCGTGTTTACGAATTTGCGCATCGGTGGAACAAAAGATGATACTCGTTTTCATTTAGCTCGCGAAGTCAAGATAGGCTCCCGACAATTTTCTCGATAATAAATTTGATCCGCTTAATTAATTAAAATTATATTAAATAAAGTAAAATTCCATCATTACTTTAAATTGTGATTATTGCTAAAAAAATATTTAAAAAAAATATTTTTTTTTTCTAATTACGAAAAACCAATCGCGGAAATATTTATTTAAGAAATATCAAATGTATGATTGCTGTTATTACGTACATCGCGAATCGTACTTGACGACGGGAAAAATCGCGATCAAGGTAAATGTCAAAACCGGTACAGGAAAAAACGACATGATTCAATACTTCACATTATCGCTTCAACAATGCTGTTTACTTTTTACTACAATGAGCGTTTTTTTTTTGTTTTCTTAAAGCTTTTTTTCTTTGGATTATTTTTATTTTATAAACGCAATATCTTATTTGTCGTTTTCGCGAACAGAATCGCAACTTCGTATCTTTACATACGCGCATGCAAGACACGCGACAACATAGAGGTATTTACATGCTTAGCGTTTCGACTCTTCGATCGTTTACATAGTCATCCTAGTAGATAAACGAGCTTGTAAATAATCATCGAATGTTAACGTACGATGTGTTAATGTACGATAATTACGAGAGTGAAAGGAGATGTAAAGGAGAGGAGTTCCTCTCTCGAGCGGAGCCCCTCATCTTACTAAGCGCCTACGATTATTAATACGTGTCGCTCTGAACAGAGAATGGACCGCATTGTGCAAGCTACAAGGATGGAAATGACACGAGCTGTTCATTTTAGTCGCGCAAAAATTTCGGAACGGAATAAATTTAAGCGAGTCGAATTCATACGAGGTTGTAGGGAACCTCGGCCAAAAAGTATCTTTAACAAAAAAAAAAAAAAGATAGTGCCAATACATAGAGGCGTGTGCAAAATTCTCAGAGTCTAATTCTCTTTTCGGATCACGAGAGGGTAGCGTATGCATACTTATCCGCGTGCTAAGCATACCGTAAGTAAGAAACTAGTTTCCAACGAAGAATATTAAAGAAACGGAATCGTTGTAACACTTACACGTAGAGATAATTCGCGGAATAATTTTAAAAAACGAAAAAAAGGGTATCGCACGATCGAGTTAAATTAGTAAGAGAGGGAGAAAGAAATTGAGAGAATGAGAGAGCATGAGCGAAAGTCGCGAAAATGTGTAAGAAAGGAAAGGGTTGACTGGACAAGTATAATATACTCCATGCCTTATAATAATAGATAATACAAGTATGCGTAAGCATAGATAGATCTATTTAATTAGTGAATTATTCGTAAGAGCTATAGAGACACCGTATTGTTCTAGCGCACTTGGCGATGGGAACTCGTAGATTGTTAAAATGAAACAAAAAAAAATGTTTATTCATCGTAATACCATTTGAAGATGACATAGAGAGGGAAAGAGAGAAAGAAAGTAGAGCTTTGTGAGATTAACAAATTTTTAGACGGCGTTTTATGAATTTTCCCAGCGTTATGTGCGTGACTTTGTAGATGACAAGTGAACGCTAATCGCAATATCTGGACGACCAAAAGCGCATGATGATCGAAACTAATAATTCTCTCATCAAATTTCGTATACTCTGTTTCCATGCGATAATTGATAATTTTATATACTATTAGAGACATTTTTTTTTTTAAATTATAATACAATATTAAATAAAATATAGTGATTGGATAACATAAAGAGAGAAAATAAAACAATAGAAAAATCGGGGAAAATGTCAGAGATATTACCGAAGACTTGTTTCATTCATCGTGCGTTTTTGTTTTTTTTAAATTGTAGCGAGTAGTGAGCATCCCTAAAAATGTAGTAGGGAAAGTGATGCCGCTAAGTCGAACGATGCTGCGTGATTTGGTATAGTTTCTAATTGCTTTACGGGCTGACGAAGTAATTTCGAGGAGGAGGGAGTAGGCTTTGTATGCTTTGGATCATCTTTGCACTCCCGTTTTATTTTCAGTGTTAGATTGTTCGTCAGTCATTTGCACTTGGAGATCGCGTATTGTATTTTTAAAAATTGTATTAAAAGTTAAATTATTTTAACGCGAGTGATATTAGTAATTTCAATTAGATCTTTCAAGATCTCCACAATGTGCGACGAATCGGTTTTTTGTCGAATCAAATTTACGTTAGAAGTGGTTGCAGTGCAAATGTCTCTCTGGATGCGATTAATTGAGCAATTTAGCAATAAATGTTAACATTACAATGTTTCTTCTATGTTTACACGCGCAACATCAACTATGAGCAATTTGTCCAAAGATAATCGCAATTCTTACGGTTACCGTGTAACAGAACACATCGAGCGCTTTCTCCCGTAGGTAACGCGTAGTCCCTAGAAGCTGTGAAAACGATAGCGAGAAAATATATCGAACGTTAAATATTTATTTAGGTACACAATTCATGATAGACGGTAAGTCATCCTGGATACGGATGTTTGTTTTTGCGGACCTTACTCGTTAAATATTAACCCTAAATGATATACTTTACTTACAGAAAGTGTAAGAGAGACTGGCAGACCTTGTGTACATGGTAAAAATGACTTTATATTGTTGATGTAAATGAATTTTACGATATTTGCGTTTGGACATTACAAGTTTCATTTACTTATTTATAATATATTATTTATGTATTTATATATATGTTTATATGAATACACAAGAGGGGGATAAAAATGTGAATGGGTAAAATATTATCTTTTGAAAATTTTGTTTTATAAAAAGTGAAAAGGACCGGTCACAGAATCTTCTTACACTTGTTTAGGGTTGAATCCCTCGTAGATTATTTCATACTCGTAGCTTCGAGGCGAACAAGTTTTTGGAAATTCTTTGAAAAATTGCGATAGAGAGAGCCATATACAATCGTTATTAAGGAATTTTGTTTAAAGAATTAAGAGTATTTCAAGAGATTCTGTGTGTGATTTCAACAGTTTCTGAGATTTCCAAAGAGACTATTCGCCAGGAAAAGTAGCGTCACGTGGTATCGTAATACTTTTAATTAATAAATATTTCGTTCATTTAGATCACTTGAATTTAGTTTACGATTTATAATAAAAATTCTAATTGCGAAAATCGCGAATTATCTTATGCGACACAATATATTTACAAATATGATAAATTTAATATTCTCTTTTCTTTCATTTTTTGAAAATTGTAATTTAATACTTAAAAAAATTCCCGGAAAAATATTTATCATTGTTATTTTTCAATCCTCTTCTGTACAGGAATTAATAAGAGACATTATTCATTTGGCAAATTATACGATACATGTTATCTATTTTGAACACCTTTTCAGGGATTGCTTTAGCTAAATAAGTGGTGAAGGGTGAATGCGATTTATGTGCACTATAACCCTTAGAGATAGATTCTACGATGCAAAAATATTCCGCTGAGCGGCTAGTGAAACATATTTATGCAATAATAGATTAATAAGTAAGAAATATGGGCATGAGAGAATATATTTACATAAATGTCTCGAAAGTGTTATTCCGATAGCGATCGAAAACCGTGAACCACGTGACGCAAAGCTTTCCTTGAAATCGTTGG